GATGGTGTTCGTTACCTGAAGAACCTGGATGGAACCGATCGCGTCGTTGAGAGCTGCCTGAAGTCCATGGTTGATGTCGCATCACTCGCCCCCGCTGGCACTATCAACTACATTGCCCCCTCAGCATGGGTTCTGCAGAAGTGCATCGCATCAAACAACAGACACACCCGTGCTGCCGCCGCGCAAGCCGTCGGAATTCTCCTTCCTCACCCCCTTAATAAGGTGGACCTGGCGATTCCTGAGGCGGCTCCCCACCAGACGAGGAACGAGAACGTTCAGAAGTTCCTGAGAGATCTCAAGGCTATGATTTGGGGATGGGAAAAGCATGTTGGAGCAGTCGCCAATGGTGTCGAAGGAGCCCTGCAGGCATTCGGCCACATCTTTTCGAGGGCCGTGTACTATGGTCTTCCTATCCCGATCGACGTTCATCTTCCAGCAAGGATGCTCATGGACAAATCGCGCCATGGCCCGACGTTGGAGAATGCTATTCTCGAATGTTACGGAGAACTTTGGACCGCGGGACTTTCCCAGTATATTCCGGACAATGTTAACAACCTTACGGCGGATTATGTGATTGAGAGACTCACGGAGAATGCAAATGCAGGAAGCGACAAGTCCATCTTTGCACTCGGCCGCCTTGCCTTGGCGTTCAACGAGCCGAATGAAGAGGCTACCCCCGAAGACGGCCTGCTGTATCCGTCTAGCAAGACTTCAGGCATCGATAGCGTCCTAAAGAGCCTTTTCGGACTTCACGCGAGAAAGGAGACCGAGATCCAGTTCACTGTCGGCGAGGCCATCACTGCCGCTATCGCCTGCTGGGACTCTGACTTTGTCAAGCTCTCCATGAATGTCGACTGCACCGACGGTCCCTGGAGAAAGGGCAAGCGCAGCCAGAGAATCACCGCCGTGCTCGACAAGCTGTTCCGCGACTGCAAGACGACAAAACCCAGCTTGCTTAAGGCCTCTGGCATCTGGCTCTTCTGCGTTGTTCAGTACTGCGGACATCTCGACGAGGTCCAGTCACGTCTCCGAGAGGCCCAGGCCGCATTCATGAGATTGCTCAGTGCGCGTGACGAGTTGGTGCAGGAGACGGCCTCCCGCGGTCTGTCACTGGTGTATGAGAAGGGCGACGAAGGATTGAAGCAGGATCTTGTCAAGGACTTGGTCTCGGCCTTTACTGGGAACACCACGCAGATCAAGGTTGAGGATGAGACGGAGTTGTTCGAGCCCGGCGCTTTGCCTACCGGCGAGGGCAAGTCGGTCACGTCGTACAAGGATATTGTCAGTTTGGCGAACGAAGTCGGTGATCAGAGTCTCGTCTATAAGTTCATGTCTCTTGCGACGAACGCCGCGACCTGGTCTACGAGATCTGCCTTTGGCCGCTTTGGTCTCAGCAATATCCTCTCCGAGTCAGAGGTCGACCCTAAGCTTTACCCTAAGCTGTTCCGTTACCGCTTCGACCCGAACTCCAACGTTCAACGATCCATGGACGACATCTGGAAGGCGTTGGTCAAGAACCCGAATGAAACGATTGGTGAGCACTTCGACGCCATCATGCAGGACCTCCTGAAGAACGTCCTCGGCAAGGAGTGGCGCGTCCGACAGGCCAGCTGTGGTGCCATCTCCGACCTGATTTCCGGACAGCCCTTCCACAAGTATGAGAAGTACTATGCCGAGATCTGGACTGCGGCACTGAAGGTGCTTGACGATGTCAAGGGATCTGTCAGAGAATCTGCTCTCAAGCTGTGCATGGGTCTGACCAACACTATTGTCCGTCAACTCGAAGAGGGTGGGTCTTCGTCGTCAGCGCAGGCTATGCTGAAGCAAGCTCTTCGTTTCCTCCTCTCGCCCAGCGGTCTCGAGAGCGGCGTCGACGAAGTCAAGATGTTTTCGCTCAAGACGATTATTGACATCACTAAGAAGGGCGGCCCTAATCTGAAGCCCTTCATTGTCGACTTCGTCCCTCCTCTTCTGGGTCTTCATAGCACAATCGAGCCAGAGCAGATCAATTACGCTTACCAGAAGGTTAGCGAGGACTCCCGTGACCAGCTTGATAAGCTCAGAGCTAGATGGGTCAACCAATCGCCAATCTCGGAAGCTATCGACAACTGCCTTCGGCAGCTTGACGCCGAGGGGATGAAGCAGCTTGCGCCGAAGCTCGAGGAGATCATCAAGACCGCCATCGGCATGCCGACCAAGATTGCATGTGCTAGACTGATTGGCGATCTCGTCATGCGCCACGCCGTCGACTTCAAGCCGGTATCACCAAAGTTCATGCAGATTATGGAGAAGCAAGCACTCGACCGCAACGACGAAGTCAGCAAGGGCTACGCCAGAGCCGCGGGATACCTGATGCGCATCGTTCCCGACGCATCCAAGGAGCGCCTCGTCGATAAGTTTACCGAATTCTACTTTGCCAGCGAAGACGAGGCCCGCCGCGCCAAGGTATCCGACGTTGTTCTCGGCGTGTCCAAGCTGGCCCCTGACCACTTCAACGCCCTGGCGGCCAAGTTCATCCCGTTCACCTATATGGGAATGCACGACACGGACGAGTATACCCGAAAGTGCTTCGACGAAGTCTGGAACCAGCACGGCGGCAGCTCCCGCACCGTCGCGCGCTACGTTCCCGAGATTGTAGGCTTCATCAAGAGAGGCCTCGAGGCGCCGCGATGGAATCTTCAGCATACCGCCGCCTTCAGCATCGCGAGCATGATCAAGGCCGTTGTTGCCTCCAGCGATGCCACTGGCGGACAAATGTCCGAGGCAAACCTGAAGCTCATCTGGCCCGTTCTTGACAAGGCGCTCGCGCTCAAGACCTTCCCCGGAAAGGAGAAGGTTCTCGAGTCCTTCCCCCAGTTCGTCGGCAAGGGCAAGGCTCTCTGGCAGAATGACTCGACCATCGCCGCACAGCAGCAAAAGATTGCGATCCGCGAGGCGAAGAGAAACAACGAGGACTACCGCCCGCACGCCTTCAAGGCTCTCTGGCAATTTGCAGAGCAGCGCGACGACTTGGACCTTCTCGAGACCATCTCCACCATTGTGAGCGGGCCTCTGGACGACTTCATTGACGAGGACCGGATGGATGTCGACAGCTCCGGCGACGCGACTCGCAAGGCGGCCGTCAACGGCATTGAGACTGTCGCGCGGGGCTACAACCGCAAGGAGATCAAGGAGAACCCCGGCGCCGTGCTCAAGAAAATCTTTGAGCTTCTCAAGACGTACCTCGACAACGCCAAGTTCGAGGGCATCAAGCGAGAGGTGTGGTACGAGTCCGTCAGAGACCTGATGGAGGCTGCGCCTGCCCCCGCCTCCAGCACCCCTGCCAGCAACGAGAAGGAGGTCGCTCTGGCCTATCTCCGCAGCCTGGATCCCGAGTCCGTCGACAACGGCACCGAGGCCCAGCGTACGATGCGGGTCCTCGCTATTGGCGGAGTATTCAAGGCCATTCAGCGCGGGGTGTTTGGGGAGGGAGCGGCGGCGGCGGAGGAGAGGAAGGGCTTTGTGGAGATGGTGAAGAAGGCTTTGGGGGCTGAGAGGTCTCTTGATGTGCAGAAGCACCTCAAGGAGATCCTCGCGGAGTTGGAGAAGTAGGAGGAAGAGGAGAAGATACTTCTCCCTACTTCTCCAGCAAGGGAAGCTGATGTTTTTGGCCGCGAGGCGGCAGGATATGGCTCGCGGGGTGTTGATACCCCTATATTAGAACTTGCTCTTTACTTGAATGACTGTTACAATGACGCCAGCCTTCCTCTCAACGTGCTATTGATTTCGCAGAAACAATTCATAGATGTACACATGAGATATAATGGAAAGAGGGCAGAGCCAATGAGACAATTTTGAAGCGCACTTTTTGTAGCTAAGGTTGGTTACGCATAGATGGATGGCATCGGTTCGGAGTCGCAAGCCAAGCGATACCTGTCCAGTCCAGGTGCTGCTGCCTCGAAGCCTGGGTGAATCCTCTGATCTATGTCAGACTGCACCAGCTACTTACCTTTAAATAGTGCGGCAGACCACAGGAAGCCTAGATGATAGTTCTCCTTGACAGGGGCCTATTCGCAGGTAGTAAGATTCCTACATCTTGCAATTCGTGGGTGCGGGACATCGCGACGCTCAGCCAGATATCCGTTTCTTGAGATGGCAAAACCGGAAGCAGAAGCTATATCTTCATATCTTGATGTAGATAGAAATGGCAGGTCAAGGCAGGATGAATCCAGAGACGGGCCTGTGCATATAGTCAGAGCAAGAAAGAAGCAGGCTGCAATGCTCTGCGTGGGGTGATCTTCAAGACAAACATCTTCGTGTGTGGCTGAGGACAAGCCACAAGGTCAGCCACACGAGATTGAGCACCTTGGTGGCCGTGGCGCAGTGAATCACCTCATCGCATCAACATTCCACCATTTCTCCGAGACAGCCAAGAGCAGGAAGGATGGCTCCGAGGCTCGACCGGCGGTTGCGTCACAGAGTTGGACGCCTTGAGGGTGGCACTGGCCCGATAGCAGCACCTGCCCTGCGCTTCCACCCGTGCCTGCACTCATTTGCCTTTACACGCGCCGGGACAAGCCCGCAACACCATCCCGTCCTCAGATCAGTGGCGGCGCAAACCAACCAAACCAGCCTTGCCTTTCCCTTCCCAACAAGAAGCCGAACCTGAAGCTATCGACTTTCTTTCAAGTTGCTCGTTTGGAAACCGCCGTGGACTTCTTCACTTGACGGGGCCAGACAATTTAGACCCAAGGACCAACGCGCCCGACGGTGACCTGCAGCTACCCCTCCGCCCCGTGCCAGACTCCAGCACCTTCGGTTCAAGGTGGGGCAGAGGTGCCATCCGTCTCCCACCTTCAGCGACTCTTCTTCATTCACTCTTCTGACCGCCACCAGAAAAAAAAAAGAATATCTTTTGACTGATTGCTGGCCGGTACCAACTGCTGAAGGACATCTCACGAAGCCACGCACGAAGCCAAACTTTTTTCAGCGACCTTAACAGTCAAGCGCACACCTTCGCCATGGACGAGGATATCTCCAACTTCGTCGCCATCACGGCAGCTAGCCCGGAGGCCGCTCGCGGCTTCCTGGAGATGACCAACAACAATCTGGAGCAGGCTATTCAGCTTTTCTTCGAGAACCCCGACATTCAGAGTAGTTTCAACCAGCCGTCGGCCACCTCCTCGACAGCGCCGCCAGTGCCCTCGAGCACCCGACCGAATGTTGGACGGCAGGACGAGCGCGGGGTCATTCACATAGATAGTGATGACGATGGCGATACGGCTATGACGGTGGACGATATGGACGATAACTTTGGACACGACGACTCCGAGATTGCGGCAAACGAACAGGTGGCGGCCATTGCCCGAAGCGCCCAAGAGGAAGAGGATGCCGCCATGGCCAAGAGATTACAAGAGGAACTTTACGGCGGTGGTCCTGGAGGTGGTGGTGGCGGCGCTGGAATTGGCGGTGGTCAGGATGATGTCAGATCACCCATCGCCAGAACCACCGAGACGCTGGTTGGAGGCTATGACGGTGACGATGGTATGGACATGGACACCATCATTCGGGCACAAATGAGACAGAGAGAAGCCGCCAGGGCAGCTCGAGGTGCGTATTGGGCAATGTCTACGTCTTTGGGTTTGCCATGCTAATATTTTGGGCACCAGCTGGTGGTGGAAACCCCTTTGCTCATAACCTGTCCATCTGGGATGATGACAGCCCAGCTGCCGCCCAGCCCGCCCAACCCGCTGCAACGGAAGGCGGCACGCGAGCCCAGAGACTGGCAGAGCTGTTCCGGCCGCCCTACGACATTATGTCCAGACTGGAGTGGGACGAGGCGAGACAGGAGGGCAAGGACGAGAAGAAGTGGATTCTGGTCAACCTCCAGGATATGAGCGACTTCAACTGCCAAGCCTTGAATCGGGATATTTGGAAAGATGCGGCTATCAGGAGGCTATTGGATGATGCCTTCATCTTCCTGCAGTATGACAAGGACGCCATGGCGGCACAGCAGTACATCAACTTTTACTTCCACGGCACCGGCCACGAGAACCCAGATAACTACCCGCATGTCGCCATCATCGATCCGAGAACAGGAGAGCAGGTCAAGGTTTGGAGTGGAAGACCGTTCCCCAGCGCATCTGACTTCCACGCGCAGCTGGCCGAATTCTTGGACCGCTATAGCTTGGCGGCGAACAGCAAGAACCCCGTAGTGGATCAAGCAGCGCCCCGCCCCAAGACCGTCGATGTCGACCGAATGACGGAGGATGAGATGCTGGAGATGGCATTGCAAAACAGCCTTGCAGCGTCCAACGGCGGTAGCAGCAGCAGCTCCAAGCCTAAGACGAGCGTATTCGATCCTGATGCGCTGACCAAGTCGGACTCATCCAGTGGCCGAGGCCAGGGCATTTCTTCAGTCGAGGAGGCGGCGGGCGGCATTACTCCCCCTGCTGAGCCGGCAGCGGCGCAGAGCGCCTGGGCCCGGATTGCGGGTGACAAGCCGCACACGGAGCCAGAGAACAACCCGGCAACGACGACAAGGATACAATTCCGACACCCTACTGGACGTGTCATCCGTCGATTCAATCTGGAGGACCCGGTCAGACGCATCTATGAGTGGCTCAAGGCCGAGCCCCTCGAGGGCAAGGAAGGAATTGAGGTTGAATTGAAGCGTATGCCGCAGGGCCAGGACTTGAGTGACGGGTTGGACACGACTATCATGGAGGCTGGGCTCAAGAACGGCACCGTCATGATTGAGTTCATTGAGGACTAGAGCTGGCCTGGGTTCGACTCAGCGACTGATGATTCGGGCGGGAAACGTCGGTTACGGGCAAGGTGCATTTATTCAGCAGGGCCAGGGCCAGGGCATGGGCGATAGAACCGGAACTGGACAGGCGGAAGGAAGCCTTCTTTCAACATTGTTCGTTTGGGCTCTTCTCATACATACTACGATATCCGGCGAGGGCAGGCAGGCAGGCATGGAAGGACGCAGTTTATCGAGGACCACGGGTAGCCTAACAGAGCCAAACAGCGGGCCAGAAGATTCGGACGGCCATCCACCGTAGGTAGACGCTTGTTAACACAGAGACGGCATCAATAGACAGGGAAATGAAAGCAATGCTGGTCGCGTTGTGATACGATTTGAATCATTGAGACGCGCATACAGAGAATGACTTGACGCGCTTGTGTCCCCTAACGCGTGTAAAGGAACAGAGTATCAACGGCCAACGATCCGATGCCAATCATCTTGTCGTATTCAGTGTGGATGTATTAGTGGAAATTCACACCCAGGGCTGAACGGAATCGACGGCGAGATCAACCAAAAGAAGAAGCCAAAGGAAAAAAGATGGCTCAAAGGTGCCCCGTAGATGTCCTGGGCTGAGAAATGTGGCTGTTTCACTAGGCTAGAGCATGAACTATCTATCTTTGGGAAGTGTGCTTGGCTCACCTGGGCATCGGTGGTGGCGCCGGTTGGAGGGGAACCAATTAGAGGGGGATGACGGACGGGTTCCTGGACGGGACGTGTCACTGCATGGGAGATGGATGGAGGGGTGATTGGATGTGGTGGGTTGCTCTCGTCTGTTAGGTATAGTGCTAAGGTAGTACCTATATTGATGTTGGTGTTGTTGAAGCTGAGATGGCGAGATGGTGAAATGAGAGGTGGGAGATGGATGTCTGGTTGGCAGCGTTTGGGTCGATTCTGTGAGGTGCAGTGCCAATTGATAAGCAGGATGTGATCTGTGCACGCTCGCTTACGTTGGCGATAATGCATTGCGTATGTAGATACTCCGTACCTTACGGCATTCCATTGTTTCGACTGCTGGAGGTCGCTGACGTTTTTACTGGACAGGGCCACCCCAAGGACCATACCGATGGCAGGGGGGATGGATACTTGAGGTGGGATGAGGGGAACCTGGGAACCCAATTGACATCAACAGCAGTGGTTGCTGGTGAACCGACCCCTCGGTTACCCTTTCAGATCATGGCATAAACAACGGGCGATGGGAGGCCCAATAGACACCTCCTGATTCTGTTTCTGCCTTACTTTGGCCATTCCAACCTGCTTTACGAATACCTCAGATTCAATACTTCCTAACGCTGGAACGTCACATTTCCGTTTACATGTATTTGGGGAGTCGATCTTACCAAAACAGTCCAAATCTCAAGGTGCCTATCTACCTACCTATCTACCTACCTACATAGGTACCTACGAAAAAGTCCAAGCCCCGGATTAGCACCAACACCAAGACCACACCCCAAACATTGACAACATCCCAAGACAACATTCAAGAAAGCGACGACGACGCAAAGACAGCCACGCCACCGCCCTCTTCTTTGTGGCCTCTTTCAACCGTCCAGAGGCCTGACTGCTTGGTCTTGGTCTGGCTTGGTGCCGTCTCTTGCTACCCCACACTCTGCCTCGTGTGCCCAAACATCAGATTCCCGTCCGTCGTTCCCTTGGGATCAAAGCACAGGTACCAACCGCAACCCCACGACGCTTTCTTTTTTGCGCGGCTCTTCCTTGCCATACCGTGAGATTGCCCATCTCTATCCGTACTCTGTAGGTCTCTTGAATATCCCCTGCTGTTTGTTGTGCCTACCTACGGACTGTCATCTAGTACCGTGGCCCGTGGCACTGACGTCTTTCCTTCCCTCTCCCTTTGCTTTGGCTCTACCAAATCCACCGACTTCGCGAGGAACGCGAATTATAGCGGCCCGCTACAGTGTCTCACCACCACCTCTGGAACTTTTTTTTCCTCATCCTCACCTACCTCACCTACCTACCGTAGTGGTTTTCCCCTCTCCTTGTTTACCTCGTCATTCTGTCTCTGTATCTTGAAGAAAAAGGAGAGACGAGACATTCGACACGCGACAAGAGCCCACGTACGATTGACGCCGCCCCCTTGGGAACTAATCACCGTTAGGCTCCGGCCGACTTTGTCTCTAGCACATTTTTTGCTAACCGCTCGCCTTGAACCAGATCGCTTTCTTTCTCTCCTTAGTCTGGGCCTCCAAAACCAGCCTTCTCGGGGGCCGCTTGTGACCACCTAGCCCGGCCTCAATTGCTTCTACCTCAGCTCGACGACAAGCCGTATCCGTCGTCCCCCACCGCCTCTGTCCCTCTCCAGGTCGCTCGCCCTCAACTCCAGGATCCCCTCTTCAACCAGCTGCCCGCTGCTCGCTGCCCACTGCCCGAGCACCAAGGGAAAAAGAGACTTTCCAGTCCGAGAACTCAATTTCCCGCCAACCGAACATTTCTCTGCCTGACGACAAGAGGCATCGGACCAGAGACGAACCACCACCGCGCCGACGCCGAACTACCGCTAATCCCACTGCGCTGACGAACTTTCGGACCCCTTGCAACCCCGCGATCCTCTCCTTTGCGACGGACGATAGCTCTCGACGGATCAGCCTTCTGTTGTTGCGCGGCGTCAATTGAACGACGGCTCCTCTCTGCTGGGAACCCACCACCATCCTTCGCAGCGCTAGACCGCAATCATGGGCGATCGCGATAGGGATATCGAGGAGGGCAACGAGGCGCTTGATCCCGAGCTGCTCTACACCAAGGAGTACTGCATCGGTATGCGCGCTGCTTCCGTGCTTGGTGCGGCATGTTGCTAATACACTGGATTTGTCTAGGTGGAGGAAGCTTTGGCAAGGTCTACAAGGGGTAAGTACCGCCGAGTTCCCCTCCCCTCTCCAGCGAGAAGCATCAGAGGACTGACCATCACTCGTACAAACAGAGTCGACAAGCGCACCGGTCACGCCGTAGCCATCAAGATTATTGATATCGAGAGTGCCGAGGACGAAGTCGAAGACATTATCCAGGAAATCGCCATCCTGTCCGAACTGCAGTCCCCCTATGTTACGAAATACTACGGCTCGTATGCCAAGGGGGCGGAGCTATGGATTGTCATGGAGTTTTGTTCTGGCGGAAGCTGCGCAGACCTCATGAAGCCAGGTCTGATTGGCGAAGACTACATTGCCATCGTCATTCGCGAGCTGCTACTCGGTCTCGATTACTTGCACACGGATAAGAAGCTGCACCGCGATGTCAAAGGTACGTGGATCACTCTATAATGCGCACCATTTGCTATTTTCCTAGAGCTGACATGCGGATTCAGCTGCCAATGTACTACTCAGCTCCAACGGGCAGGTTAAACTCGCGGATTTTGGCGTTTCGGGGCAGCTCTCGGCTACCATGACGAAGAAGAATACTTTTGTCGGCACACCTTTCTGGATGGCCCCGGAGGTCATCAAGCAGTCAGGGTACGATCATAAAGCTGACGTCTGGTCGCTTGGTATCACGGCGCTGGAGCTTGCCAACGGCGAGCCACCGTATGCTGATATCCACCCCATGAAGGTGTTATTTCTAATCCCCAAGAACCCCCCACCACGGCTGGAAGGAAACTTTACAAAAGCATTCAAAGATTTCATCGAGGTGTGTTTGCAGAGGGACCCCAAAGACCGACCCACGGCCAAGGACCTGCTCAAGCATCCGTTTATACGTCGCGCAAAGAAGACGAGCTACCTGACCGAGCTTATCGAGCGCCACAGCCGGTGGGCTGCGACGCACAAGGGCGACGATGACGAGAGTGACCAAGGGGGTGAAGAATACTACGAGCGCCGGCAGGTCGACGAGGACATGTGGGATTTCGGCACAGTGAGGCTCGTAGGAGATCGTGGCGGCGTCGTTCCCCGTCCCGGACTTGGTGCCCTGGACGAGTCTGCCACCAACGCCAGAGCTGCGAGATCTACGGAAAGCATAGATGATTACGGAGAGCGTTCGAGAGACAGCAGTCCGACCAAGATTCGCGACTTTGGCCGAGACCTCGCCGTCGCCTCTGATACCCTCAAGGCGGCCAGTGCCAACACGGGGACCTCTCGACAGGCATCGCCGCAACGGAAACCAGTGCCGTCGGTTGCGCCTGCGCCCCAGTCGCCGGCCAAGGTGCCTCTTCCAATGTCACCTGAGAAGTTGCAAAGAGGAGGAGGAGGGGGTCCAGAGACACCGCGACCCGTCTCTCGATTGATTCCTCCTGCCGTCCCGGTCAGTCAATCTCCGGACTACGACCGAGAATTACAGGTTCAGTTGCAGAAGGACATGGGCTTGATGAGTCTAGGCCCTGTAATTCAGCCCGCCGACTTGCAACACCTCGATGATGCTACACCCCCGCGACCCCCTCTCCATGGGCCTCGGCCAAACAACAAGTTTGCACCGATTACTCTTCCAGAAATCCCACCATACCGCGGCAGCCCGCAGGCGCAACAAACGCCGGTCAGGATACCGAGCCAATCTCCGAATGGGCAACATCGCCAACCGTCTGGCCAGGCGGCGCCGCCTCCACCACCAAAGGCATACGCGCTGCCCTCAAAGACGCAGACACCTACTCCTGAACCCGCGGCTCCTTCATCCTTCCCCCCGCCAGCGCCGTCTAACCCCAACGGGGAGTTGGACGCCTTGAACGATGTCATTTTCCCCGCACTCGAGGAGGCGCTAAAGAGGAGACAAATTAGGCTGCAACAGGCATTCCGACCTCAACAGGGTTCGTCTAGCCTCGTGGCCATGAACCAGGTGACCCCAAAGCAACAACGAGCGGAGGCGGCTCACGAGAAGCTGCGAAAGCTCGTATATAAGCTCGCTCATGTGTGTAAAGAGATTGACCACTACGACAAGGCGGAGCCCGTGGGTATGGGCAGGGACGTTGGCACCTTCCTGGAGGGGCTGTTGGAGGAAATTCTCGTCAGGGTTGAACCCCTCGACGAGGAGGATGTTGCGGCGTGAACCGTCTGATGGTCCAGGCGGCTGTGTGTGAGGCGGAACGACAGACAGGGGTAATGCTTGGTGGGGCACCCGACGAGCACATGCTCGGATGCTCGCGAGTCGTCGCCGGCTGACCGGCGAGGTGGGATGGAAGATGGGAACGAGCTGCCCCGTTGATGACACGACAATACACGGGGTTCTGGAGGATATCTATCGCCCCAATGCGAAAACGAAGAGGCTTATTACGTACGATGCAAAGGGCCAAAGGAAGGGAAATCGGGGTTGATGGAATGCTGGAAACGACAATGACAAGACGACGGATATGACATGACGGATAGGACACATACACATACACATACACACACTTGGCCCGTTCCCCTTCTCGTCTTTTGACTCGGAACTGGGAAGTAAACACCGGGTGGCGGATCCAGGGTTTGAGGAATAGAGGATGGGATGGGCAGGGAAGGGGACGCAGGAGTGGTTCACAAGACGCCTTTTTCCTTTCTGTTTTTCCCTTTTCTACAGTTCCTCATGTATTATACCCAGCATTTACCAAGAATAGAGTGCGTGCTCTTTCTCTGAGACTACCGGGCCACCACACCCCCGGAGAAACCGATGCAAGGCTGAAGAGGGAGGCTTTGGTGCACTAAGCCGTATGGGGGGGTTAATTCTTTTCTGCCCAGTGGCAGTGGCTGTTCCCGTGTCTGGCTGGGTATGTCATGTATGGGTCTATCCGTATGGGAATCGTTAAATGTTGCCGAGAGTCAATACTTTACTGTAAGCGAGCGAGCCTTGGCTTTGCCGCTGCAGAGACAAGGCAAGGCCTAGGGAGAAAGTCTCGCTCTTTCTTGGGGCCTGCCCCGGCTCTCCTGAACATTCGTAGAGCGTTCGGCTGGGGGAGGGGGAGGAGAAAGGAAAGACTGGTGGATCGACCGTGGAGTTTATATGGTATACGGACGCCAAGGCGCCGTAGGTGTGTGGTGGTGTTGAACCATGACTCTATCTACGACGGACCCATGTCCGGCGCGGCTGAAGAGGATGGAGGGGCCTGGAGAAATGCTTGGCAGGCCGTACGAATCGATCGAATGGGGATAAAAAAGTGCGTGAGGGGGGAACGAGGAATATGAGTCTTTTGAGGTTTCCGATGGCGGGATTCTGGGTGTGATGTTTGACGTTGTCTGTGTGTCTTTGAAGGCCCGTGGAATCCTTGTTGGAGGGATGAATCCGGACCAAGGCAGCACGAAGTTTACAACAGGATCCATCGAGGTATGATCCTTCTGTACTCCGTACGGATGGATATCCGTAGCTTATGGAAGAAAAGCAGGTTCCTGCAGCCAGCTTCGGCCGGCCTTGTGTTGGCAACCTTGGAGGGACTCTCGAGTCTTGAGTCTTGAGTCTCGAGTTTCTTGGAGAGAAGGTCGCAGCGGCAGATAACCTGAAACCAGACGCGCGCGTGGGGCGGATGCTGCGGTGCTGGGCAGCCAGGAAACCCTGCGGCGAGTCATGGACCCTGAAAGAAAATGCCACAATTACAGATACACTCACTGGTGCGAGAGAGCGAAGAAGGTGGGAAAGCTGCTGAAGGTGTTGGAACGGCATTGACGATGGCTGGCCTTGCTGGGCAGAAACTAGGCCATGGACCTGGGTTGTTAGTACCCACAGATGGCGCTACGGCGTTACCCGTCGCTGACACCATGATCCCTACACTCTTTTCCCATTTCTTTCAAGTCTGACTGGTTCTGTTCCCAAGATGTACGGACAGACACAGGCAGACCGTGTCCTTCCGGGTCTTCTTCAGGCCAAGTCTGGGGGGGGGCCTCTTCTTGGGACGAGTCAATCGAGTCAATCGTCTGCGCCTCCACCCCGGTCTCTCCCTCAAAGTTGGGACGCTGGGCGCTGCAGGACAAGCAGTACGGCTGGGCTCTTGGAGGATGGGATCCACCATCTCTTGTATGTGTTCTGTACTCCGTATGGTCTCGTCTGGGTGCGGCTGCGGCTGCGGCTGGGCTGGCTTACCTACACATTATATAGTATCCGTGAAGAGTTGTTAAGTGGCATGGTAGCATGACCCCCCCGGGTCGGCGTGCTGCCGGCGAGATGTTCGTGGAGAACGGGACCTTTCTTTGCCCCCCTACTTCCCTCCTCCTGGGCAGCTTTTCTTCACGAGACCGATCCAAGAGGCGAACTCTGGATATGGGGCAGATGTGGTGGAGAGAGAGAGAGGAAGCACGGATCCAGACTGCCGTGGAGAGGAGTTTGGAATATGTGACTTCTCTTAAGGTCTGGCAGCGCCGCCCTTTTCTCGTTCGTTTGGAAGGAAGGTTTTCGGACTTTCTTTGCAACTTCTTCTCGCTCCTTTTTTGTTTGCTTCCTGCTTCCTGCTTCCTGCTTTTCTCCTCCCTCCTTTGAAGATGAGAACGTGTTGATTACGTTTTCTCTCCCTCTCCATCTCTACGAAACCCGAGCAGAAAGAACCAAACCCCCTTCCACTCATTTTTAGCTCGTTCTTCTTCTTGTTCAGCTACTACGCCTTCTCGTGGAGGTAATCTTAATCCTACGGGGGAGGATCAAGGAGCCTTCTACTTATCTTTGCCCTTCTCTGCTACTGGTCTGGTCCGTCTGGTCTTTCTGTCTTCTCGAAGTTGGTTCCTGTTTCGAAATCCCTTGGAAGAGAAAGAGCGAAGGTTGTCGCCTTACCTCAAACACGTTGGCACACCACCACCCATAGCCCAGCTATTACCTGGCAGAACATCTCATTACTCCTCCTCTCACATCGCCCACCCCACCCCTCTTCTACACATACCACCACCTCCATCTCATAATCACTCCCTCTACCTATCCTTCTCGCCGTCGGGCTTTCTCTTCCCTTTCCGACCTCCTTTCCCCGAACAAACATTCCAGCCTTTTGGGGGCCGGAGCCTCAGACTCGTCGTTCCTTTCGTCATCGAGCATCCCCGCCTTGTACGATCGATACGTTTGCGGCTCTTTTGAACGACTGTTTACGACTGTTTGGCAACAATAGAGGCTGGTTCTCTCGAATACACATCTTCTTGTCTTCGGCATCGATCTTGGTCGGGTTACCCTCTTCGGAATTGGTATTCGCTGGGCCAAGTGTATTTGGGAAAAACAGAATCCCCTGGCCTAGTCAACTCTCCCGGCCTCTCTTACCGGGCTCAGATTCATCTAAACGACATCAAACATGGAGACGACGACAACAAAGGTGGTGCTGCTCACGCTGCTCAGCAGCAGCGGCTTCGTAACATGCGCCCGGGCCGCGGCGAACCTGTGCTTCTTCCCCGGCGGCGTGCAGAGTCTGGACGTCCCGTGCGATCCCAAGGCCGAGGTCAGCATGTGCTGCGGGAGCGTGAATGCGTGTTTGAGCAACGGGTTGTGCAAGCTCGAGGATACGTCGAATAACACCGGTATTGCGTATGCGAGAGGGACGTGTTCGGATCCGACGTGGCAGAGTCCAATTTGCCCGCAGCATTGCGTGTTGAGTAAGTCTTTGACGAATCCTTTCCGAGGGCACAGGAGAATAGTTGGTCATGGGAGATCATGGACCGAGACTGGCGAACCTGAGATGGAGGGGTGTTTGGATTCAGGAAGGAACAGGAGTACTAACATGAGGACAACAGACCCCGACACAAGAAAGAACAACACGGCATACGACTTCAGATTCAACGGTGTCCAGGTATGGCAATGCGACAGCCAAGGCTTCGGCGTACCGGGCAAGTTCTGCTGCGAATCCGCCGCCGAGAAGACGAGATGCTGTTCCACGCCGCCCGCCATCTTCGGGCCCCTCATCGCCGCAACACCCGGCAATGCCGTCGCCGTGCAGACCCTTAACACGGGCGCCAAATCCACGCCCACGCCCTCGGGGTCGGGACGCGCCGGCGTCACGGGCGGAAGCAATTACCCCTCGCAGCAGACGCCTGAGATGACGGCCGTGCCGACGATGACGAGCAAGATCCCCGCCACGCCTGGCGGCGCGGAGGCCAGTCAGCCGACGGCGGATACGAATACCGGAAGCAGTGGAGATAGCGGGCAGAAGGGTATCGGGAACGTGGCTGTCGTGGGACTGGGTGTCGGCGCGAGTGTGGGTGGTGCGCTGCTCGTGGCGGTGGGCGTGATGTGGTACCTACGCAAGGAGAGGTCTCGCCAGGGACCCGTGGAGCTTGATGGGTCGAGTATCAATGGTGGGTACGGCGGCAGCAGCGGGGCGAGCGATCTTTCGAGGTCGAATACCGGACATACCGGGCGGATCGCGTATGGGGGGATGAATATTCACAATATGAACCAAAACGGGGGCACGGGGACGATTAGCTCCATGGGGACGGGAACGTATAACATGTCGGCGACGCCTGGGATGATGACTGTGAGGAAGGCGAGCAGTGAGTGGGATGGGAGTCCCGGCGGGTTGGGCGGGAATTATCAGATGGCGGAGATTGATGGCAAGGAAGCGATTGTGGTGGCGGAGCCGCAGGGGAGGAAGAAGAGTCTGTATGAGCTGCCGTAGCCCGGTGGTCTCTGGAAATGGCGACGATGTTGAAGATGGAGGTTTGGCACGAGGCAAACCATACTGAGATGGCATTTGTATAAAAAAAGAAGAATAGGGACGGGATGGTGTATGGTGGTGTGTGATACCTTGACACTTTTTGATAGCGGGGTGGTTTCTTTTCTTACTCCCCCTTTTCTTTCAAGTTTATGGCTCATGAGAAATCAAATTTTATGAACTTTAGACGCCATTCCTTGTGAATGTTTTCCGCCTTTGTGACAAACAGGTGACAATTTGAAACTATCTACTCAGTCAAGACTTGATCTGACGTGACTTAAGCTTATCCCTCATCTATCTGTGATCTACAAGTCTGGCGGTTGGGTTGAGAAAACAAGAGCTCGGACGGGGAACAACGATGCTAGCGTGGGAAACAACGATGATGGGCACTAGGGCCTATTAGTTGACAGCAAACATCACGACATCTTCACCATCATGAAGCAGTACGAGGTCAGCAGACACGTAGAAGACGCTAACGAGGTATGGTGGTACGGAGAAGAAGGGAAGGGTGCTACCAGCACTCCGGAACCTGTCACGGTCGGAAGCGCATCCGAACGGATCAGCGACCACCCAAAAGGTATTGTGTTTTGTCGTGAAAGGCCCGCCAGAGACTGGAAGGGGGGAAGAGAGGGAAGAACGTGGTTTACCGGCCTTCTCGATTCGGCCACCAACACGTGCAGCGCCCTACGGCCTTGCTGGTGGGTGGTACTGTAAGTGGATGTCGACCCCCAAGGAGTGCAGGGGCACACTTGAGGGCTGAGGGGCTTGAGGGGATCGGGGACGTCTCCAGCCGTTGCTTCATGGTAGGGTAATGATCGGCAGGGGAGCGCTCTGCGGCTCTCTCGTCGTGCTTCGATGTGACGTTGGAAGGGGGAAGAGCCGAAGAGGGACGGATACAGTGCGGCTGGCCTTGGATCCCACGCGTAGTGTTGGTTAGGTTTTCTGCAAGGTCAGAGAATCGTTCAACCGTCTTTCCTTCGTCTTCGTTGCCTTGGCCGCTACTCCGCGAATCTGACGCGGGGAAGGCAAGGAAGGACTGCCTTGGTCTTGTCTTCTTACCAGACCCGGATACGTCGATCATTCGCCATCTTCCATGCTGGGAGCGGGTAAATGATCGAGAGGAAATGCGGAGCAGCGAAAAGAGGGAGCATGGAAGATTTTGATGTCATAGCAGTGGCGCGCATTATAGATCAGAGGCCTTGTTGCTCGTACAAGACAGAGTCTGGGATGGTTTCCTGGAGGGTGTTTGTTGTGTGTGGGTGGGCGGAATAGACGCAGGGACCTCGATGAGACTCGAGAGAGTGATCGAGGAGGGGATTCCGTTGCCGACGGCCCTGTCTGCGCTATGTGAGGGACCGGACAGGCGTACAGGGGGTTAGAGGGCATAGAGTTTGCCGCGACGTCTCATGAGGTATGATTGTCGATGGCATAAGAGCGATGGAGTCGGATTTGTGCGGCACATTTGTTGCCTTTCTGATTGGTGTGTCTGTTGCAGGCTCAGTGTACACAGTTTGATTTGGTCGCGTTGGCGAATACTGGAGAAGGCGTTGGTGATGTTGGAATAACAATATCTGGCTGGCTTGTCTACCATCTTGATCTACTTTAAACCAGTAGGTTCACTGGGCTTGGAGATACATGGAGAAGCTGTTGGAAGTTTGACTTGGCGCGTCTCTCTTGACATTTTTTGGAGTTCGGGTGGTGCCTTGCGGTGAAGGTGTGAAAGGGGACGAGGGACGAGACGAGTGGCAAAGTGTATATTAACCAGACACACGCTCGTCAATGTAACTTTTGAACAGAACCAGATATCCGAAGAATTCGGCACCAACGATGGTCGCATTCAGTATCCAGCCACACATCACACGCATCACATAGTCCGAAGAAATCGGACTCGGAAAGAGAACGAAAAAGAATTTGCATTGATGATCGGATTCTTTCGGTTCGACACAAGACGCCATAGTAGACGGTTGAGTATAGGTTATATGGAACATTGTATGATACGGATCTGCGAGCCTATGAATAAAAGCCGCAAATGCGAGGACCTTGAGGGTGAAGTACACTGGAAAAGGCACTCGTCAGCCAGGGGAAGCCGGGCGAGAACGGAGTGCGGGAGGACTGCGCCCCCTAGACAATGAACATCCCCGGCCCCGTCGACACCGGGGTCAACCCACCACTGCACCGGGGCTTTGAAAAGAAAGCGGAGATGCGGTTCTGTCATCGGCTCGTGTAGCTAGTAAGCAGAAGCGTGTGCCCGCGACGGACGACTGACTGCCGGAACATCGCTTACTTGGGAACATAAATTGCCGATGACTGCTGGTGCGTCTGTGTCGTGTTTCCACTGCGGCGGGCGCAGGATGGGAAGTTTGGGGGCTGATCTTAAGTTTCTTGCTTCAGACGTTATAGGGGCCGCCCACATACTATGACGCTGATGTGCACGGCGGTAAACGGGGGCCCTTTTGGGGAATTACGTGCTGATTGGGATTTTCTGCAAGTTTGTCTCTTGCCCGTGCCTGTGCGAGTCTGGAGAGTGTGTCGCTTCTGGGGGCCGTTTCGAGGAAAGATGGGATGATGCGCTATTCTTGTCGATCGGTCGCTTCGAGAATGTTGGGGAATCTGGGGCGGCACGATATTGGGCTTTGTGATCTGCTGCACCAAATGCTTATCTTGCTGATCGGTCATTAGTGGGTGATCATGGTCCTTCTGCTCGGTATCGCTGCCGGTAAATCCTCCATTGCAGTTATATCTGCGCTTGATCGACGTGATGTTGGATGAAGTATTTTACCCTCTCGAGAGGTATAGTAACCGGTGGCCACCGTACCATGAAAGTCTGTGAGAACTTTCACCTGGATGATCATGTTGGTAAATGGCTTGATTGAGAGGAAATTTGGCCGAGATGAATAATTTAACTTCTTAACTTTCATTTAGGTGAGATGTCGAGATGCAGCTATGAAGGTTCTCCATGTAGAGTATTAATAGCAGTGAGAGTCAAGATGAAGTGCGCAGCAGTTATAGCAGGTGTGGCAGTACCACCCCGTGGGTAACATGTGAATCAGACACTTCGAACGCGAGACTGCGTATCCTATACGCATAATTGTGATCCGGGTCAAGGTTCTCGATAGAGATTATCTGCCCACAATACAGGTTGTTTGAAGTTCAACAGATCGCGAGGGGGAGCGTGGATGCCGCGGGGAGGCAAAAACTCCCCAAACACGAATGAACCCCTCGATGAACCGCCCCCAACAATACGCATGAAATTATTGAAGAGTGCCATCGCGTTCCTAAAGTCTAAAGTTTCCTTACAAGGCCAGAAGTGTCGAGTCGCCGATGAGCCTTACTAAGTCATCTAGGGATTTGCCTGTATACCTCTGGAAGAACCGTGATATAATGACACCATTTAATGTCCCGTATTCGGTAGGACACATTTTGCACCATTTCCCTACAGCGAAGATTCAACTTTGACACACACAGCACTATGCCTGATAGAAAATTACCAGATAATCACACAAAGATTCCAACGGCATACGAGAAATAGAGGATTCATTGCTGTAAAGACAAATAAAAACTTCCTCCAATCCATCACTTCGATCTCTCAAATCCGCACCCGGATGAACATGCTAGGCCTAAGATGATGAGCATACACAGACCGGGTCGTTAGAAGCCACGCTGCCAATGTAGACCACCTCCACAGCCGCAAAGGCAGCCGTTGCCGCGAAGATCTCAGCCTTCTTTGCCCCAGTAAGTAGTGCAAACAGGACTGAGAAAATCATGGTAAGGACAATGACAAGTCCTATTCTATGCAACATGTCCTGTACGAAGTACAAGGCCAGGATTGCAAGAGTTGGCAGTGCAGCGGACAGAGTTGCAAGAATGATGTCACTAAAGCGTGAGATCTTTTCCTCGTTGTAAGCACGCGTATCGTCCGGCCTAAGTTTTCCACTGGACTTCCCGGTATGGATGTTAGTTTGGATGCTTCGGAGACTACACGACGGGAAGGTTTGTGTAAAATGGATGCCAACCGTGCTATGTTGTCCGATCACTCTGTGATACAGGTTGACAACTTTGCCGTTCATGAATTTAGTGAACCTGTCCGTCCCGACTGCTGGCCCCCCAATATTGAAGGTATCGTCTTGATTGGCCCGATTCCAAGTCATTGCTTCTATGCCTGTCATGTCAAGAAACCCATTTCCCCCTTTCGGCTTGCGCAGCCATGTTGCAAGAAACTCCCACTCGTCGTCAGATGGCCGAGGCAACTTTTGTAAAGAAGAAGCATGCTGAACTGCCTGATCTGGACTCGGGCTTAAGATGATATCATGCAAGGGAATGAAGAAGTCTTACGGTATTCGTCTAGCCTCTTCCCAATTTCGAGCAGAAGCTCGTACTGAATTGAGTCTGGATCTTCTGTGTATTGCTTCATCACCCGGAAACTGGATCCATATTCCCGTCGTATGGGATTTGTAGAGTTTCTGTCTTCATCTCTTGTATCTTCGAGCTGTTGTTCAAGATCTTGGAGTTCAGACTGAAGACGAAGGAGATTCATCATGGTGAGATGGTTGAATTTTCGAAATATTGCCACTTCGGGTGATCTGGCGAAGAGGCCGGCTAGATTGCTGTATCCTCTCTCAGGGAGACTTTCTGGCCTTTGAAAGGTGCTCCCGGCCGGAGAGGCCTCGATTTGGTTCGAATCCATTTGCAACGAACGTGCTACATGCGCGATGCAATCGATCTCAGGCTCGTGAGACTTGGCAATAAATTTGATGGAACGGTCGCTGATTTGACACGATCAAGGATATGATGAATAACTATCAATTCAGTTGAGCGAGCTTCTCAAAACTCCGCAGTTCAGCCGTGTCCAAGTGGAATCAGGCTGCTTCTGACTGCATATCACGAACTATTACGGGCGTAAGTGCTAATATCACTGTCACGTCATGCGGCATAGCCCCAACAAATGGATGGTCATGTGACTTGTCAGCATGAGCGATCTTATGCGATGATTTTAAGCCGATTTAAATCCCAGCCTGATTCTGTTCCAAGCAAAGCCATTCTCATCGTGAGCGCAACTTGCAAGATCTCCTTGTGTCATTCTTTTACCTCTCAATATGGCAGAACCCTTGGGTATGGCCGCGTCGGTCTATGGCATTATCTTGTCTCTTTCTAAAGCTCAGAATGCTTTGCGAACAGCATTAAGCCGCTCTTCCGAGAACGTGAGCGCCCAGAAGAGTCTACGGCGATTGGCTGCCTCGATGACGATGCTCAGGGTCATGTATCTAGACCTTGATCCGGACGATCTCTCTTATCGCATAGGGGATGAGCCAGCCACTCATATATTCAGACTGATTAGCGACATTCGCCTGGCCGAACTAGACAAAAGTCTTACTTATCCAAGTGACAACAAACTATGGAAAAGGTATTCCAATCACGTGGAAGAATTGACTGAAACGCTCCAAACGGCAATGCAGCGACTCAGGGACATTGAACAAACGTCGGTTGAAACTCCGGCTGAGGAAATTTAAGAAGTGACTAACCGTTATAGCTCCATGTTGCGGCGTATTGAGAGAATTGTTGTCAGATCTGAACAACTCCATCTGGAACGGGATGCGGAGTGCAACAAAACACAACAAGCGGTGGCAGAGATCGGCCAAGCTCTATCGCTATTCAAGTTACATGTGGTAACGGATGGGAGAGCATCGGAAAATTCTATACAGCAGGCGTTGGCCGAAATCGGCGAAAAATTGTCGAAAATCAGCAGCTCATTATTTGTGGACGGAGATACTTCAGATCGAACGATTGAAGAGCTTCGCACGGCACTACAATCAGCCATAGGCAGATTCCAAGGGTGTGACCGGAACCGAGTCGTTTTCCCATTCGTCATACCAAAGCAAGGGGCCAATGATGTCATAGCCAGAGTCATACTCGACACCGGCGCCCAGGACAATTGGATCAATACGAGAATACTAGAAAGAGCGAACGTGACATATGATGAGGTTGAAGGGGCGGGAAATTACGTTGGGGCAGGAGGATCGCACTTCACACCTCTTGGCCAGGCCCAACTGACATGGTATTCTGAGAATCAAGCACTCAGCAAAGTCTCGTGCTTTCTGGTACACAGCGATCTTCCATGTGATGTTATCCTTGGCAGCAAGTACATTTTGGCAAGTATGGATGACGTTCTGGAGCCGGTCCTACCTATAAGGAACACCCACTTGACCAAAGGTGAGTCTTCTTCCGCACCATAATGGCCTACCTTATAACTGAAAACATCTGATAGAGGATTATGTTAATCTTCAGCGGGCTGGAAGGGAGAATGGTGTCAAGAATGAAAGAATCATTGCCCTCCAGAGAGAGCAAAACAAAGCTGAAAGGGAAAAGAGAAGAGCCCAAAAAGCTGAATATCAAATGTCAACAGCAAGGCCTTCGGCACCGTACACGGAGGCAGCAAGCACTCATTCTTGGACCCCCGATGCCTTGTCCAGACGCCAAAGCACGCTGTCTTCGAGGCAGTTTTCGCCCCTGAACAGTAGTCACTCAAGAAGGCCACAATCTGTTCCTTCCACGATGACGTTCCAATCATCTACAGCTCAGGAATATGCAGTGGATTCTTCATTGGACGGTCTTTCTCCGACGGTATCTTCAAACACCGCTATACCTGAAGTAGCAGGGGCACGTGAACAAAATGGGTGAATCGAGAGTCTGGGAATTTCGTTAAACCTATCTTCCGCCTCAAGAAGGCGTAATGATACGTTTCATTATTTTTTTCTGTGCAGTTTTCTCGTGATTGAGACCTTTCCGAAGTGAGCGGCCTGCCTCGCACCTCTGTACAAGACAGATCAGTTGCTGAGCAAGACCGGACGGAAAAGGCGGAGGAAATGAGAGACCCCGTTGCCAGGTTGTATTATCTACTCGCCCGTCTCCCGATTGTTTCGCTCAGAGCAGTGTCTCTACATTTGAAGTTGGGCAAACGTGAAGGCATAATGGCAATCGGGCCTTTCGAGGTCCAAACGTTGATAACTTTTACTCAACCACGGGACTAGGACTTGTCCAAGAGGTGCGAGAGTGATCTGCATTATCCGTATCAGGCCATAATACCAAGCATAGACTCTCAAAGTTATCTTTGCTATACGAAGAGATCGTGAGATCATAAATTCCCTGCTCATACAATTGCTGAGCGCGCCCTGCGTCGACCTGATATCGGCCCGTCGCATTGACTACAAGCAATGCCGGAATGGGAATTCTTGGAGAATTCCTTGGCGAAAGGTTGACACTCAGAGCAGACATGTCAACTTCATGTTGCGTTCTACTACGGAGAATGCCATGGGCAGCTGTAGAGAGAATGATTGTCGTCCGAGCTATGCGCTAGAGTGGCCGTGTACCGTGTTTACCTACAACCGTGTGCTTATCAGCAAAGTTTGGACCGACGGTTGCCAGGACGCCATCGGATGGTTCAGCGCCCGGTTAACGGCATACGAAGAATTAGCAAATATAGGTTCGGTATGCTGAGATTGTTTCTCGTCAATATTTGCAAGGAGCAGAAGTTGAGGCAAGAATACGGTAGCATAGAATTAAGCTCAGAGGGTATGATGAGAGTATACTTTGAGACCAAAAGAACAGGCTAACTGCCATACCGAGGCAATCTGCAAGCGTCAGCGACTCTTCGAATCATTCTTTGTGCGGGGGGACGAGTAAGTTGGCAACCACAGTACGCTTGGCGCCATGTTGTGGCGCTTTGGTGAAGCTAAGGTGGCATCCCGCGGGCTTCCATTGAAGACCCTAAACAAAGCCAGCCTACATTATGGACTGGGATAGACTTCAACGGTGTCTTGGGTGGGATGTATGATGGCTAAGAATGCTCGGACAATTTCACTCGAGCGTTCGACTTTGGGACGGATTACACGGGAGGAACTTGGGTCTTGCGCTAGACACCCTGCGATTCCTATTGCAGTAATCCTAGCAGCACTACCGAACTCTAAGATCAGCAAGACATACAATAGCACCGAGAATTGGGCATTTCCATTCGTTCCCCCACCTGAGAGATCGACAAAGAATCCCCCAGAGCTAGCTGATCGTCAAGTTCTCCAGCTCCCCCCAGAGAGCTTGCTCACAACACCTTGCCTAAATCCGCTCAACACGTCGTTAGGTGCAGTGTCACGGATCCGCTCTAGGGCCTTCAATGCCGGTAGCTTCGGACACGTTGTGGCGCGCACACTTTTCACACTTTGTTCTAGTTCTTACCTCATTTGAGTCCGATGTAGCTTGAGATATAAGTAGCTCCGGATCCTGATCCGAAATTGAGATCTTGAACTCTCCAAGTCATCAGCTTCCAAAAACAACCCAATTCATTCTCTCCCAAATCTTCAGTCTTGTCTTTCCTACTTAATCTTTAGCAGTACATTTCTAATTTCACAATCCTTCACATAATAACTACAACAATGCGCTCACATATTCAGCAACTCGTCCTGGCCGCAGCTTTGCTGCAGTCCGCTGATGCCGCCCCGGCCGGCCTTCTCGACGGTCTCGGAGTCGTAACCCAGCTACTGGCACTTCCGACCGACTATGTGTCCAGCTTGACCGGGCTTCTTGGCACGAAGCCCGGGAGCGGCGTCGGCGCCGGAGCGCTCAACGTCGGAGATCTCCAAACGAAGCTCGGATCGATCTGGAACACGGGAAGCACTGGTGACTTTTACGGAAAGCTGCAAAAGCAAATCGGCCAAGGTCTCGTCCCGAACAACCTCCTCTCTAGCTTCCAGGGACTTCTCGGCACTGGCCTTCTGGGTAGCTTGGACCTGGCCAACAATGCCAACAAGCTGATTGCTCCTCTCAACGGAATCGATTCGACGAGCAACAACAACCCGGTCAACCCGGCCAAGTCTGTCTACCCCAAGAAAGATGCCTCGGATGCGCCATACACCCTCTCCGAGCAGCAGCTTCGCCAGGCCATCTACATCCCCCAGACTTTCACCTACGGCCAGAAGCCTCCTGTTATTTTCATTCCCGGCACTGGTGTCTACGGAGGAGAGACCTTTAGCCCCAACTTGTTGAAGCTTCTCACGAACGTCCCTTACGCAGATCCCGTCTGGCTCAATATTCCGGGCGCTCTTCTTGGCGACGCCCAGGTCAACTCTGAGTACGTCGCCTATGCCATTAACTACATCAATGGCATCAGCAACAAGAACTCGAGCATCATTTCTTGGTCTCAGGGTGGTCTAGACACCCAGTGGGCTTTCACCTTCTGGCCTTCTACCCGCAACGCTGTCGCCAACTTCTTCCCCGTATCTCCCGACTTCCACGGAACCGTTCTTGCTAACGTTCTATGCCTTTCACCTGGCAACGGAGCCCTCAATGCTCCCTGCGATCCTTCTGTCATTCAACAGCAATATACCTCCGTTTTCATTAACACCCTTCGTTCCCGTGGAGGAGCCGACGCCTACGTTCCCACGACAACTTTCTACAGTGCTATTCTCGATGAGGTTGTCGAGCCCCAGCAAGGCACGGCCGCTTCCGCCTACCTGACCGATGCTCGCCGTGTCGGTGTCACCAATATCGAGGTCCAGTCTGTCTGCCCCGGCCGCCCCGCTGGCAGTATCTACGGCCACGCGACGATGCTCTTCAACCCCTTGACAGCCGCACTGATCAAGGATGTTCTTCAGAGAGGCTCAGGACCCGCCAAGATTAGCAACATCAACCTCAACGACGTTTGCAAGGACTTCATCGCCCCTGGCCTGAACCTCGAGGATGGCATTGCTACTGCTGGTTCGATTGTTGCTGCTGGCATTCGCTTGTTGGCCTACCTCCCGAAGCTCATTGCCGAGCCCACCCTCATGGCTTACGCACGTTCTTGAGCAATCTTTTGTGTAAACAAGATGTATCTTCTAGAGAAGCTATACTTCTCATGAGAATGACTACGAGGTTAGTGTGGGTGCTTGGGACGAAGTAATGAAGATGAGGGTGAGAATAAAGTGAATGTAAATCTTCTTTGTAACACTGTAATTAGATGTACAATTGGGTATAAATAGACGTAATTAAAACAGTTGAACATCAACCGCGGTTTCAACGTTGGGGCGCTCATTCCACACGTGCATTAACGCCATTTAAATGAAAAAATTGTGAAATCCATGACTCGTTGAGTCTTGATTGGTTTGTGAAGGTATGAGTATGATTTGCAAAAGATTGATTCTGGATACCAGAAAATTCCAGAAGGCAAAATCACATCTTCGCATCTCTCCCAATACCCGTCTGCCCCACAGCAAATTCCTTTCTCTCATCCACTGACAACCTCGTCTCGGCTAGTTCACCAGTTTGTGGCTGTTCCTCTACAGCTGCAGGTCTGTCGGTCTCTTCGACTGGGACGTGGTCTCTGACCACCAGCCACGTAGGATAAACGGCCAAACCTACATCGATTAGCATCATCTTCAACTTCATCATGGACTCTGCTTGGCTTACCCAGGAGTATAGTGTTGACAGCAAGTGGTACTCGACCTCCCTTCCACTTCTGTGTGTTCAAGCCAAACGAGACAGCCTGGGAAAAGCTCTCCTGGCCTCTAAGAATACCCGAGAAACGAGTGAGCTCCGAGATGTTGTCCGTCTTGGTAGCGAGAAGGTAGTAAAGCCAGCTCTGCAGTGCTTGACGGGCGAAATCCCACAACAAGAGCACAAAGAAACCCTCAGTGAATCCCTTATCTTCCCAATCGTACGCAGGTGGGTTGCGGGTGTACTTCTCTTGAATGACCCAGCCGTAAACCCATGCAATGACGTGCCATACAATGACGTAGTAGAAGCCAATAGTGATGCGCTTCTTTACACTGAATTTCTTGTAGTCGAGGAGAGTGCTAATCAGCTGCGATGAGAGAAGCGTGCCGAAGTTGCTGACGAAACCGATGAGTGCGCGAGCTCGGATGCCGAAATAGTAGGCTTGGAAGTTTCCGCTGTACTGGTTGAAGTAGGCAGCCCAAAAGATGGGGAGAAGCAGCAGGATGTCCTTGCGCTTCGACACGCGGAGCAGCTCTCTGAACTCAGCCTTGAACGACTTCTCGGCTTTGATAATAACTTTGCTACCGTCGGATCTTTGGACCTTCTCCGGGGGGGATAGAGCGAGTGCAAGGGGCACGCTGAGACATTGCAGAGCAACAAAGACCAGGTAGGTCTGGTATCCAACCTTGCCCTTCTTCTTCGCAGCCGCATCGTTGTTGAGGGCCAGAACGATGGCTCCACCGACAAGAGGACCACCGGTTCTGAACCAGAGCCAGATGTTCATGTACTTGCCACGCTTAGACGGCTCTGGGTATCCAAGAGCAACAGCGCCCTCGGAGGCCCAGAACAAGCCGGCAGAAATACCGCAGGCGGCAGCTCCAACAAGAACGAGCCAGACGTTGCCGTAACGGTTGTTGGTGTACAGTCCAGCGGAGTAAAGTGGGTAGCCAACAGCTCCAAGCAACAGCGTTCTTGAGAGCCCAATGCGGTTCGCGATGGGCCCACCGAATAAGCACAGGAAGGCCATGAGTCCGAAGACAAGCGCATTGGCGGCATTGACGAGGAACGGTTCCTGGGCACCACCTGCGCCGAGGGCGTTCATCGCATTCCACAGGCCAGGGGCCATGAAGCCTGGGTGATGTTAGTAATTGCTACTCTGACAGTGCACATGGCTTCATACCAACTCCTCCGATCACGAAGGCATTGAACAAGGTGCTGTGGTACCACACCCGCTTCACCGGTGGGTCAGAGACCGCATCGTGGACGTCCGACGACACGGACTTGGGTGATTCTTCGGCCATCTTCACGGGTTCTTGGACTCGAGGTTGACGAACTTCATTCACATACGTTGCTTAGAACCATCGTTGACTTATATGATAGCTCGTAGCCTCGGCTACCATCGCCACTTTGACGATGTTCTAGCCATCTCATGTTCAAAAGTCCCTCCAAATTTTTCTCATAGGATGAACTCCTCATTCTCAACATGAATGACGAATATGCTAGTGCAACGTTGAACCCACCGTTCAAATGACAATCGTGCAGCTCATTCGGCAGTTCATCATCGAGGTCCACTAAACTCCGCGTGGGTTCCTACCCCTCGGTCGAACTCCGTCGGAAAATTAACCGCAATGGGTAGGTCTATCGCGAATTCGGCTGGGAATAACACGCAAAATCGCCTATAATAGATCTCGCGTAGGAACTGGCGTCTTGACAATGAGAAAAGATGGGAAAGCATCTGGTTAGAAAGTTGCGCTTATGAGCGGAACAAAGCTTGTCAAAGCAAGGGAAATTTCCTCTGTTATTCTAACACAAAAGTCTAGTGATTAAAATCCACTCAAAGCCGAAGCAACATGGCCCTGTGTGCTCCTACAGTCAATGTGTATCGAGCCTACAACTTGGACTGGATTTTCTTTGCCTCCTCTTCCTTCCTCTTCAACTCCTTCCACCACTTTTGCTTCAGTGCCAAAACGCCGAAGCCCAACAACGCCCATTCATCTTCCCACGCAGGCAACTCATAAGCATCCGTGCCCGGTGCAGGAGGTCCGGCAACACCTCGCAAAAACTCGAAATATTCTGAAAAGTCGGGCTTGATTTCGTGGAACTGGGACGTCGGCCCCTTATACTGCAGTCGCTTCACTTCCCACTCGTCCTGCTCTCGTGGAGAAGGCAGACCGCCTCCCCGGTTCGCGAAATAGCGAGCCACGGCAACGGCCTGGTACTCGTAGACACGGAACGAGATGGCCGCCTTGACTTGTCCAACGACTGTGAGTGACGGATCCGCGATGTTAAAGACGTGTTGGTAAAATCCTGAGAGGCGCCCACTTGGCGTCACGGGATCGGGACGCAGGAAAGGGTAGGAAAGTCGATAGCCGGTGCCGAAGTGAACTTTCTCGATACCGTCGACTTCACTGCCGTCCGAGAATTTGACTTTGACGGTGTTTCCAGATCCAACGGACACTCGTGTGATTTGCGGCTTGAGAACGACGTTGGGTAGTTCCCATGCATCCTGAAGAATTTCATTAGAGCCTCGCTGCGAGACATAAAGGGGCCCAGACACGATGCTGTGGATCTCTGAGACTGTGTCAGATGCAGAAACGTTGCCGCCGACGACAACGACTTTCTAAACCCTCGCGTTAGTCATGTTCATTCATCTCATTGACGGATAAGGATAGAAGTAAGTAGATACCTTGCCAACGTAGTCCTCAGGAGACCTGTAAGCCTTCGAGTGCTCAAACCTTTGAGGCAAAGCAGCAAAAGTCTCTTTAAGACCGTCAATATTCGGAACGAATGGTACACCGTAGTGCCCGGTGGCCACAACAACAGCATCGAATGTGTCTTGCCACCAGTAATCTCTCTTCTGGTTCTTCAGATAATGTTGGGTTTTCCTGAGAGTCAATTGCCATTTCTTGCCCACTTTCTCTACACGCTCCACATGCGTATTGAAAGTGAACAAGTGCGAAAACGGCTCTGCAATCTCCTCGAGGTAGCCAGCGACTTGCGCGTAGGGATGCGTCGGGTTCCTCTTGCCAAAGCGGTTGATGGAAGAGGCCGAGTTCACATCCGGAAACGGCTTGTAGGTGAACGCCATCACTTGGGAGCCGACATTGCTGTCCAAGGCGGGATAGAGACCTGTCCGAGCTGTGACATTTTCAGATGCTGGTGGCAATGACTGTGGTAGCTTGGCTGGAATCTCTCGCACAGGTTGCGCCGAAGATGGCGAAAAAGGTTCTGGCTGCTCATCGTAGATCCTGGAGGCATATGTCAAATCGAGTTCAAGCATTTTATGATGTAGATTGCATACCATGTGCCACCGATGCCTTCTCTTCTGTCGAACAATTGGATTCTTTCGAAGACATTCTCTTCACTCAAGGCTTTCACAGCGGAGATGCCAGAAGGCCCAGCACCGATTACTGCGACACTGGAATATCTGGGAGCCATGGTTTGAAGTCGAATACGAGGATGCCGTTTATTGAAAATCGAAAAGCAAAAAGCTTGGTGAATCTGTTGCAACAGTTTACGCCAAGTGAAGAACATATAGCCTCGAAAGCTCTGACGAATTGATGTTGCATATGACGTGCTTGCACAACACCCAGAACTAGATGGAGATAGTGAAAGTCCCACCGAGGGCTTATCGCCATTATTTGCTGTGGGAGCTCGACTTGCATATTTCGTTGGGGCACTGATTAATACGATATCCTCCTCAATCATTTGTAACTTTACAATGAGATCTGGGCTGAGAGCCGAGAGACCTTGAAGGCGGTATGGAGGCTTTCAGCTTTCATGTCAATTGGTTAATTAACATGCAGGAGGAATCTCATAGAACAGGTATCGTAGCTGATATTCAATGTTGTTTCTCCTCAGATCGTAATCTGTGTTACGTGATTGATGGATGCTTGCCAGAGCCACTTCGCGCAATCCTTCCCTGCTATGTCGCGACAAACGCAACAGACAATAACAGCATTAGCGAAGCAAGTCCTATCTGTATCATGCAGTCGGAAGCATTAATAGGCGACTTTCTATCAAGTACTACAGCCAAGCCTTTCTACTCGATTCCTCGGCCATTTTCTCATCAGGTTCGCATATCAAGTCTGCATTCATCAACCTCCGATCATGTTAGACATACACTTGTTGATTCACCAAGCACATGGAGTTCCTCGAAACATATTCTCTTCGCTTTCCTCGGAATATGCGAAATGAGAGAACTGTTCAGTCAAACGTCTCACAAGTAACATCTAAGACTTGCAATGCATTGAGCGTTCAGAGTTGAGTGTAACCAGGTGTTCAAGGAAGACCAGACATGCGATTGGCAGGTGGGAGAGTCAATCGATTTCCGCATTTGTTTGCAAAGTAAGCGGGTTCAACTTCCGCTTCCAATTATACTCAGCTATCCTGTTCTCAGGCTCTGCGGGAAAACAAAGGCTATCAAAAACGCATCTCCACTTACGTTTGTTAAATCGACAAAAAGTTGTCACTTGTCAGCTCGTCCAGCTCAAGTCAGCTAAAGGTCTGAGAAAGCCAGAGCTACTAAAAAGTCTGAGAAAATCCGTATCATGCCAAATCACACGAAAGATTGCATCTCGGCAATTGGATGACATCCTGCGGAAGGCGCGCTGGACTTGGGCTTTCGAGATGTGTTTCCTGATCATTGCGCGATCACACGCTTTCGTCTTCTGATACATCAATATTGAACTAGAAAGCTCATATAATCACTACCGTGAATTCTGTGTTGTGAATCATTATTAACAGACACAGGCTGGCCTGTAGTAAACTCTTGAGACTATAGTCCATACATTTATTGAGTCCCCAAGCAGAACCCTGAACCTAACTCCAGATGACACAACTCAACTTCTATAGCGATGCTCGTCACATATATGTAGTTCATGATGAAATTCAAGTCGATTTCGACAATATTCCGCTCAGTCTATATCGAGCGCTGACACCGGCGACCTTTGACAACTTGTTGGTGAAGTCAAGAATCCAAAGGGCTCTCAACATGAATTATCAAGGCATGGCGGATGGCAAGACTTAGGCTGTCGATACAAAGTGTCTGGTCTCTAATTCTTCATTCCCCAAACCAAAACCAGTGCATCAAGAGATTGAACTTGATCACAAAGCGCTCGACTGTCCGAGAAGACATGCAGTGATCCAAATCGAAAGGGCGGCGGCGGTGGGCCCAGCATCGGCAGCTTTCGGAAAGGCAATGCTCCACCAACACGTGGCAGCCCGAACTGATGTGCCCCGCTCCAGCTCCCGCTACCGGCGTCGACCCGGGCCTGCGGTATGCGGGGCAAACAGCTGGTTCGATTCCTCAACGGCTCAAAGGTCGACGGACTCTGGGGATAGCGCTGGGGGATCTTCAGTCCGGCTTATTTACTGAGCCTTCCTTTGGTCCTTGCTGCGTAACTGTAGTCTTTCCTGTGAAGCTGTGTCAGGTTGAGATGGCATTAGGGCTCCGCGACTGGGCAACTGAAAGATCTCAAGCAGCGGACCATTGGTGGTTCTGTTGTGTAAGTGTGTTCCGATGTAAATGAATTGAATAGAGAAACATTACTCATCACCTGGCTAGATTATCAAAGTCAAACGCGACCAATGTGACTTATCGTAACCAATTTTTGTACTTATTAGTAGTGAGATTGCTTTCAGTGGCCTCCGCGGGCGAATTTTCGTCGCAGTTGGCTCGTTCACACCTAGGAAGACTTTCACATGCGTCATTCGTCCCCTGCAGACGCATGTTTCCTGCCCCGACGAACCCCATCGAATCCTCAAAAATGTTCCCGGCTGAACTAAACAAAGAAGCCAAAGGACCAGGGGTATAAGCTCGAGGTCACATTCTCACTCCATGTTTCTGTCTAGCGGATAGGGCCCATGGAGGCAAGCTGCAGGACTGCGTTGTGCGAGAGAAGGGCGTTGGACGCCGCAAGCCAGTCGGAGAGGCCCGTTGGTTTTGGGCCCTCGGTCTCCCGGCTCCACCCCGGGAAGTTCTCTAGTTTTCATTAGGCAGTTCTGACGGCAAAGACGGGCTCCATAAAAGTCAGGCCACCTCGACCCCATCCGCCTTGAATCATTCCCTCCTTTCTCGGGGCTTCCAGCCGTCACTTGACATGCTTTCGTTTGCGATTTTGCGGTACCTAGACATAGTTGCCGAGCATTCGGATACGCTTGATACGCCTGGCCAGCCATTGCTTTGCAGTTCTTCTTCTCCTCTTGGTGCTGGTTGTTGGCGCTATCCGAGGTCATGTTCAAGGCTCAGGCCAGTGACGAGAACCAGCAAGAAAGTTACAGTTACAACTAACTTACATGAACGCCCCCACGTAAGGTACTCGGCAGGCGGATGTACCATAATATGTGTTGCTCGTGTTACTCGGCGTGATCCTTTCACAAGCCCTGTGCCTCCCTCCATGTCGTGGGAGCCAACCAACCCGTCCAAGTCCGAGCGTGCTCGTCGGAGGTCCCACCTTGCCGCCGGGCCGCTGTCGGTGAGGTAATCACCTGGGGAGGTTCCCATTGTCCCAAAAGGGTCTTTCAGGTATCATCCCCGGGTTGCCTCTCGAATAATAATTTCTGCCCGTTTCCTTGCCGTCAATCGTCGAACTTCCTCTTCTACACCACACTTTTTCTTTTTGTCCTTAATCGTGTTTCTTCCTCAATAGACCAAGTTCCTCTCTCTTTGCCTTTTCTTTTTACGACAGATCGACCACGTATAGATCCAGGCCATTACATCTGCAGAATCATAAAACCAAGTAAGCCGTGATCATCCTACCTAATTCTCGCTCGGGCCAAGATACCCCGCGAGGTCGCAGTCGCATTCGCTGACCAGGCTCGCGTGACTCCAGATTCCGAGCAAACCGAACACTTCGCAACAAAGAAGTGAGAGTCAACAACACTCAATACGCACGTAAACACCAACAAACAAACCGCAACAATGGTCCTCATCACGCGAGCCATCTCTCTCACCAACTTCCTCGTCGCTTCGTCGGCCCTCGGCTTCCAGGTCTTCGTCCTGTACCCATGGCACGAGCAGCTGTCCCACGACTTCGAGGAGCTTAAGAAGGAACACATCCGCGTTCTTGACTACGTCAAGGGTGTCGACGCCGGCCTGAGAAAGGGACAAGGCGGTGCTCCCGCTGGTCAATCTATTCTGGAGAGACTAGGCTACAAATGAGCGGGGTCAATCGCCTCTTTGGGTAGCCCTCGGACTTTTCCTTCTTTTTCTTTCGGGGTTCAATAAGGGTCGGTCGGTCTGTCTATCTGTCCAAGTTGTCTTTCATTTCCACGATTGCATGCGATACTCCCTGAGAGCGAATTCAAAAAGAGCTTATTCCCCCAATTATGCAGCAGCCTCATTTTGTGATTATTCCACAACATTGCGGACCGTCTAGTGAGTCGTCAATCTCTGAGATGCCACATTGGATCGGCAACAGCCTCAACCAGATGCTTCGATTGGCGCGATATTCTTGCAGGAGTAAGGAGACGTGATTGAATCGCCCCAAACTCCCATTCAAGCGATTGGAGAACTGGAGGAACTCAGTACACCTCATTAAATGAGATCGCCTGCCGCAACAGAACTCGCTCAAACCACCGATCGGACACCACCAAGCATCACGTGGGGCGAGACCCGCTTCACCGCCGGCAGATGCAGCAGCTCCGGAGCCCGCTCCGGAAACGCGCCAGCGAATCGACGCGACGATGAGCGATTCAAGGACTCGATGCATTTCGGGTCACTCATACACCTTGCGCGATGAGACTTAGGGCAGCCTGAAGCTTACCTCGCCCGGATTTGGCTCATCCAGAGCGCATCCAGAGCGATCAAGAGGGAGCACGCAGCACCTGGTTCTGTCTCACCCACCTCGAGGTCTGATGAGCGTGGCTCTCGTTTCATACATATGTCCAAGAAGCGCTAGCTTGATTCCATGAGGCAGAAGTCGGACTGACCAACAGTGCAGCCATTTTTCATTGCGATGCGTTCACGAGGCTCATGAAAGCACTTGGTGTCTCATTTGATCTCATTCAGCTAGACGAAGCCATATTGCTCACGCAATTCAGCAATTCTTAGCTACCTATGCTAGGGTATCGCGAATTCCAGAGTGAAGCATCAGTTTTCATGGGCCTCCCTCCCGTCCTTGCCCTTCCATATCAGTATTGTACCGCCCGAAGTTTCTGCTTCTTCGATCCTGCCCACTTTCATCACGCGACTTGTAACTCCTGAACTGGCGAATCATTTCGAACGTGTCACTCAAAGAAAACGCCATCGTGGCAATGCTATGCTGCTCGACTAGGCGTAGCTCTCGGCCTCGGCGGGCCAGGTAGCGACCCACGCGACGCCGAAGATGAGAAGCCACATGATGAGCCAGGTAGCGTAACGGCCGCCGTTGCCAAAGCCGATAATGCTGCCGACGAGGATGGCGGCGTGAATGAAGGCGGTGACGAGCAGGAAGATATCGAAGTGCCAGCGACCCTGGGAAAAAATAAAAGCTCATTAGCTGTGGTCCTCTCATCTCACCAGACCCCACCTCATCTCAGACAAGTACTTACAACCATGACGCCCAAAACCTTGCGGCGACCCTCGGCCTGGCCGATGACGGCAAGGGCCCAGGCGATGAACAAGAATCCCAAGATTCCGAGAATAATGTCGAGAATCAGGCTGACGATCTGAGCGTGGGTAACGTCGTGGACGATGCCGATGATGGTGATGGCGGTCCGAATACCGAGAATAATGATCATGCAGATACGTCGAAGGAGTACAGCCTTGTCAGAGGTTTTCAGGTTGTACGACTCCCAGGAGAATGCCCAGCAAGTACGCATGTTGGGGCACATGCGATTCTGGATGCTGCTCTGGCCGGCGGTAGTACCACCACCAGCGGCAGCGCCCTGCTGATCGCCGTAGGCCATGATCTCGCTGTTGGTGAGGCCGAGAAGGGGCTCAAGCTCGTCGTCCGAGTCGGAGGTGAGGTCGCCGGGCTCGAGGGTTGTGCGGTAGGTGATCTCGGGCCAACCACCAAAGTAGAGAAGAGCAGGATCGGTGCCGGGAGGCGGGGGGAAGATGAGCTGCGAAGGGTGAGGCATGGTGGGCGCTTCTTATATTCCTCTCCCCCACACAGACGGGTAACGGCCACAAGCGAGATGGGGAGAAAAGAATAATTGTCTTGGTGTTTGCGGATGGGGATCCCTGTGCTACGTGGCGCAGCGGAGGTTGTGCGAGGGTGGATGGTTTGGGGGTGGTGATGGGTGGAAGAAGAGGATCGTTGGTTTCACTGCAGGGGAGGCTTGCTACCTAGGTAGCTTCGCCCAGGAAATCCATGGCGGGTTTGTTTATGATTCATTTTTCTTAATTGGGCGAGAGCTATCGCGGTCCTCTTCTTGAATAGGCGGGTGCAATGGCTCGAGAGTCCAGTTGCTCTCGCCCTCTGGGGTTGTTGACGATAGCATCACGACTAAGCGATGTCGTGAGTTTCAAGCGGGAGTCGAGTGGTTGTCCAAGATGACTTGTGACTGCTCGAAGTGGGACTCGGCCAAATGGCAAATACTTCCTTCATTTAGACAAAGAACTGAAGTTTACCGTATAGTTGCAGAGTAAAACGTTTCATGCCGGTTCACAGCAACTACAATCTTTACCAAAATCATCACAGACAAAGACTTCTCAAGTTTGTTCATTATCTTCGGGGTTTGGGCTTGTGGTTGGCTTTACCGGTGTAAGCCACCAAGCTGCGTCCATTGGGACCACCACCACTGACAGCAGGGGACCATGTCTCTCCAACAGAATTTAAGCTTAAACCATCTATCAATAGACAAGCCACCGTGGATCACTTGTTGGCTCTGGGAATAGACACCTGTCTGACAGCTCAAAGTCGTGGAACAGACGAACCATGACTGCAATAGACATGACGCCCCCTTCATCTCGACCTTCGATGTTGAGAATTAGGGCCATGAGACGCTTTGATTTCAGGGGATGGGACCCTCAATCTAGCGACTTCAGCCCTGTCCACTGTGGAGGTAGTAATTAATTAGGCAACGGCTTTCGGAAGTTCTGGCGTCTTGGCACACAATCCTCACGGCTAGGTAAGCTTTGTAATTGCCTGCACCAGCCACATCCTGAATCCTTTGGAGAAGGCTTCCTAGAAGTTGTACCCAGGTCTTATAGGAGGAGTGTGCTGCCTACCTTAAGTTTTCATAAGTCCTACAGTGGAACCTAGAAAGAAAAGAGAATAAGTCACCCAAAGTTCTAGTCTAGGATTCCATCCTAGGCGACAGGGATTTGCAGCGCATTCAAAAAAGGTTTCTCATGTCCCTGTCACGGAGGTGGACTCCAATTACTAGTATGAATCTGGTCCGATTGGACCTCGTCGCAGCAAGATACACCGAGCCATAGGGCTACGCCGGCCGGCTTAGAATGCCCGGACACGTTAGGAAGCCGGGCGATCCCGGTTCTCATCCGCCGCCCCGCTTCCCGGAGCTCGGAGAGAGCGATCGCTGAATACTGAGTCCAATGAATGATGGCTTTTCTCTTCTGCTGGTCGGAACTTCTTCGAGTTCA